TTGTAATTAAAGACACATGCTGTACAGCATAGAGCGCTAGATACTCGCTTTCTGTTCTAGACATGTGAAGCCTAAAGGCCTTTTTTCAAAGCGAACGCAATATATTTGTGCAATAATTTGATCACGTGTGCAACTGATAATATCCTGCACACCAATCACACTTTACTCATGCTCTCTTTTTTTTTGCCAGAAACGGGATTTGCATTCTTCTTTCTCATGGATGCTGTTAGCATGTCCAATATCAGCTCAAATGGAGCTCAATCTGAGTCACAAATTTTAAGGCTCTCATAAACTTAAGCTCCTGAATGTGGTGGTGAAACTCTCCGTGCTCCTTTCCAATCTGGAAAAGGAAGCAATGTATATCTCTGTCACATTAAAACGCTCGGCCTGTTTGTACGTTTTTGTCGTGGCGTGATAAGGTTTGGTACTCTCTGCTGTATTTTCTTACTTTGTTTTCTTTGTTCTGTCTGAGATACGGTGGCCGTTTCACTTGGTGGTTCAGCCTCGGAATCTTTCTTTTTGAAAGACCCTGTTTGTAGCCTTGATGGAGGAATTCCTTATGAATGAGAAGAGAGCCGTTTTACACTGATTTGCACTGAAATTGTCAGCTAGCATTCCGTCAGTTCTAAATATGATGTTCTATTTTTGCAAATAGTTGGTCATATTTAAAATAACGTTTGGTTAAATGTCTACATATTGTTAAAAAGATGTCCATGGCCCCCGAGCAGTACCCACAGGTTAAAACCCACTGGCCTACACTATTGTAGGTAGCTTAAATACATAACCAGCTTTCATTGTTTTCTAATTAGGACCACCTCGGTTCATCTGAAATACTGTAGGGTTATATGGTTCACAGCACTGCAACAAATGAGCTATAAATATTTATTGCTCTTTTTACTGGGAGCTTACTTTAGAAACCAGAAAACCAAAAAGAGCACAGAATCAGATATCATTAACACAGCAAAACAGGATATTGGCCTTTATTTGGCTCAGTACTGCTGCTGGTAACAGTGAAGAGGCTTATAAAGCGTTCATTAAATGTACTGTGGTTTGGCATTTTTGTTAATAGAACACATTTATCCAGTGGCAAGTAAGAATACAGAGTTGCAAGCCTTTGGTCTTTGGGATAAACCCTATCTCTGTCTTATCTAGACTACAGTTCTGATAGATACAACTGACAGACCTAAACAATGCTATTGTAGGGAAGCTCCCAGGATCATGATGGGGCCAAGCCCATCTGGATGACTGCAGTCCTAGGATTTATTACACAGGAAAATTTGGGGAGTAACTGGGGGGGGTTGAAGTCTTACCGACTAGCTAGTGTAAGCACTACATGCTATAGCAATCGTTAATTAGAATTAGCGTTGCTGGTGATGAGTCGTCATTTCCGCTGTACCGTACCATACACGAGTACTCGTGCCTAATTTGGTCACCCGCCTACTATTGTGTCAAGTTTACCAAACGGGAATGTACAGGCTGAGCTGGAAACAGTGTAGACCACTGATTGGTCAAACGCAATAGCCACAAAATTGTCACGCGTCATCACTCAGGTCAGACAACCAACATTTCTGAAACTACTAGCCAGCCAGAGTGGCTGTTAGTCTAACATAAAACCAAATGCAATAAAAGGTACCGGTATGCAAAAGTTTGAGCACCCCTGGTCGAAAGACAGTTTCTAAGTAAGTTCTAAACACACTCTACAGAGAACACACTTCTGCACATTTTAATGCACATTTATATGCACTTAAGTAATCAGATGATGGAGAAACTCCAGGTCTACATGAGTCAGACACTAATCGGATTTCTGTTTTGCAATCAGCCAAAAAACGCACAGAAGAAGACGTGATGTATACATAACGTAAAACTCAAACTTCACGCAGCTTTTTTTTAAACATTGCGGCACTTTACCTGAAAATATGAACATACATCATCCAGAAGATGAAAAATATTTAAATTCATTTTGTAAAGCACGTAGTTGGTTTCAGCGTCCCACCAAAAGTGTTTTGCTGCCTCTCACGGCAACGCTGCTCGCTTCTTTCTGGTCTGTTTCGCACATGCGCAGACTGAGACGAAGCGAAAGAAATCAGAGTAAGAGTTTACATGCACTGAGGAATCTGATTACTGAGCCAAAATCCAGCTCCCATTTCTTAATTGGATTTCTAGACCTCACTCTGCTCTAAGAAATCAGTTTGCTGTTTACATGACCATTTGAATAATCCGATAACTGCAGAAATCTGATTATGATTGGATTATTGAGTGCATGTAAACACACTCATTGCTGCTGCTATTGTCTGTGTACACTGTTAATGCAGTGACCACCACACAACCTCCAGAGAACCCCTCTCCTTTTACGGTTCAATTATGTGGTGGAAAACCGCCCCCGGTACTACACCCAGGTAAGAATACTTCAGATTAGTATCTGTGATGTGCTGTACGGCACTGCCTTTTGAAAAAAACGCACCAAAATTAGCAGCAGATTACCTGAATACTAATGTAAGTGATAGTAACAGGCCTAATTTTATGGACATTTATACGTCTTTTTCTAAGGTGACTTCTTTAGTTTTTATCTTTTTTTCAGGTCAGTGTTAATTGTATTTAAGGGCACGTCTGAAGAGGCCCAACAGAGCACAAGATCCAGAATAATTATGGATAATTTGAAGATGTATGTATGGAATTATAAACAGCTCAGAAGTCCAGCTAGTATGGTCTGTCGTTCTGTTTGGCTTTTCTCAGTTTATGATTTATTCCTTTGACAAACAGTAAAAGGACGGCCCTCACTGTCCCCCAGACTGTTTAATCAGCGGTGTGGCTCGGCCTGCTGATGAGAGAGAGGAGGAACATTCACAAACACCAGATTGAAAGAGGTGGAGTGTCTGTTAGAGAGAATGGAGAGGGGAGAGAAATATGGCGGTGGTATCACGAGTGTTTAGACCTGCTGCTGAAGGATGGAGGAAAACAGTGAAATGAATAGGGAAAATGAATGGAAAGAGAAGGGAGCAGCGCTGAATGCTGGGAAATGGGCTTGTAATTGTTCTAATGACACCTTTCAGCAAAGATAAAGTGCAAATGAAGCAGAAGAGAGTGAAGATATTAGACAGCAGCCAGACTGATTATTATACTGTATCTTATTCTGTTTTTAACAGCACAAACCACAAAAGGAGTTTCACATTCTGTAATGTAAAGAAAATGTGAAGCTGTAAAATAGATGATAAACTAATCCCCCCCCGTGATACACAGTACTGAGACCACCCTTCATTTATTTAATTTGCAATCCACAGCCAGTAAGTACAATATATTTGTTTTTCAGTCTCAGGAAAACAGCAGAAAACACAGTTCAAGTTCAGTCTCAGAAGTTGGTTTTGCATTTTCTGCTTCTTCATTCAGTGGTGTTGAGGTCTGGACTCTGGGGTGGTCAGTCCATTGTTCAGCTTCTTTGTTTGATGTGTCCGTCTCCTTTTCTCAGTGAGGTCTTCTTGACAGCTACACATCCTTTCAGACCCACAGCGCTGAGTCGTCTTCTCACAGTGGAAGGATGGACAGAAACACCTGTGGATGTTTTCAGATCTGAAGCAGCTTGATTTTCTCCTCTCTCTCAAAGATGAACGCTTTAAGTGCTGTTTATCTGATGGGGGCAGTGTTGGTGTCTACCAGCTCTTCCAGGTGGTTGTTAGGAGTCACATTTTCTCTGTAGCTTTGCTTTGGGGTCCGGCAACAAAATCTCCTGGTTTTTTTTTCACTTCAGCTTCGTCTGCTCAGAAATGTCTCCTTAAAAATCAGTAACTTCTACTTGATGGCTGTTTTGACTGAAAGTGAAATAAGTAAAGGGGTCTGGCTGTGAATAGTGATGTATTAATAGACTTTGTTCATGCTGAGGTGTTCAGAGTTTGTTTAGTTGATGGACTGAACATCATCAAAATGCCACGACAAAAACACCTGAAGTAACAGATGACCTTCAGCTGAACCGCCTCGTCCTGTCTAGCAGCTGTGTGTCACAGCAGCACAGCTGTCAAACAGCTTCTCACACCGTGTGTTTGCCACAGGGGAACACTGGGCGCTGATTGGCTGTGAAATTCCCACATGACCAGAGTGGAAAGGTCACATGATGAAGCTGAGTGGACGAGTGAGTGATGAGATGTTTCTGAGGGGAGCTGAGTGAGGGGGCTAAACACTGTAACTGCTATAGGGAGGTTAGTCACACACACACACACACACACACACACACACACACACACAGAGTACACTACCTTTTAACAGACTGGAATCGGTTATATTTCATTAGAAATTTATTTTGGATATGCATTTTATGAGAACTTCACTCTGAATATTAGTTTTATTATAACTTTATTCTGGACGTTCATTTATTTAAAATTCATTCTGGATATTAATTTATTAGATATTCGTTGTAAATATTCATGTATTAGATATTCATTCAAGATATTCATTTATTAGATATTTGTTCTAAATATTGATTTATTAAAAATTCATTCTGCATATTGATTTATTTGAAATTTATTTGGGATATTCATTTATTAGAAATTCATTCTGGATATTAATTTATTAAATATTTGTTATAAATATTCATTTATTAGAAATTCATCCTGGATATTCATTTATTAGATGTTCATTCTAAATATTAATTTATTCATTCTGGATATTCATTTATTAGATATTCATTCTAAATATTAATTTATTAGAAATTTATCCTGGATATTCATTTATGAGATATTCATTCTAAATATTTATTTATTAGATATTCATTATAAGTATTCATTTATCAGAAATTTAGTCTGGATATTCATTTATTAGATATTCATGCTGGATATTCATTTATTAGAAATTCATTCTGGATATTCATTTATTAGACTTCAATTCTAGATTTAATTAGATCTTCATTCTTATTCATTTTTTAGAAAATCATTTGGGATATTAATTTATTAGATATTCATTCTGGATAGTGCAGATACAGACACAATGCAAACACACATGTACACAACTCTCACCATGCTGAATGTCTTTCATATCCAAATGCAGACTGGACATCAAAATCCCGACAGCCTGAGATCGCTTATTACTCAACAACTTCACCACCTGAGAGAGAGAGAGAGGGAGAGAGAGAGAGAGAGAGAGAGAGAGAGAGAGACAGATATTTTATTGCTTTTATTACTGTGGAGTTGTTAATCAAAACAATTTGTTCTATGTTAAATCTAATATTCATCATTCCAGAGTGCAGTCGGACCCAGAATATATTATAACCCGAGACACAACAGGCTACATAAACACGCTGTATAAATATAATATTCTGTTTTGACAGGCTGGTGATATTTAATAGCACGCTGAGTTTAGCCTAATAAGGCCGTTGCGGCTCTGGCTCCTTTTTTTAGATGCAGAACCTTCACTTTTCTCTCTCTGATGTTAAACATTCACATTAAAGTCCAGAATATGGAAAGGCCAGCCAGGCACACTGGTGTAATTATGCAAATGATATAGCTGTCCAGAAAGATTATCCTGATGTTGGACTAGCGGAGGGTCGACATGCTCTACAAATCACAACGTATGTATGAGACTCCAGAGTGCTGACTGATCTCCTTACGAGATTAGATTTATGTAAGCAGAGTAAAAATAACCGCGCTGATAGTGTCACTCGTGGGTAATAAGTTCTGATTTTCAGAGCAGTTTTCATACTTTTCTCACAGTGACGAAGCCAAAACTCCACTGTAACGTACATCAAAGCAGAAAACTTAGCTGGAAAGCAAAACTTTTTAAGGTCTTTAAGATCCTCTCTTAAAGTGATAGTTCAGCGAAAAGTCTAACTGACACACTTTCTCCTCTTACACTAAACGTAGTCAATGGTTGCTATAGGTCCCCAGATGGTTGCTAAAAGTGTTGCCAGGTGGTTGCTAAGGTGTTACTAGATGGCTGCTATGGTATCCCAGTTGGTTGCTAGGTGGTTGCTATAGTATGCCAGATGGTTGCTAAGGGTGTTGACAGGTGGTTGCTAAGCTTGGTGATTGCTTTGGTATCCCAGCTGGTTGCTAGAGTGTTACTATGCAGTTGCTATGGTAAATCATGTGGTTATTAAGGTATTGCTAGAAGGCCGCTGTAGTATCCTAAGTGGTTGCTATGGTGTTGCTAGGTATGTTGTCCCAGTTGTGTGATAGGTGGTTGCTTTGGTATTCCAGGTGGTTGCTAGAGTGTTACTATGCAGTTGCTATGGTAACTGAGATGGTTATTAAGGTATTGCTAAAAGGCTGCTATGGTATCCTAAGTGGTTGCTATGGTGTTGCTAGGTGGTTGCTATGTTGTCCCAGTTGGGTCATAGGTGGTTGCTTTGGTATCCCACATGGTTGCTAGGTGCTTGCTAAAATATTCCAGGTGTTTGCTATGAAGTTGCTAGGTGGTTGCTATAGTATCCCAGATGGTTGCTAGAGGTGTTGACAGGTGGTTGCTAAGGTGTTGCTTGGTGATTGTTATGGTATCTGAGGTGGTTGCCAAGGTGTTGATAGGTGATTGCTTTGGTATCCCTGGTGGTTGCTAGAGTGTTACTATGCAGTTGCTATGGTAATTTAAGTGGTTATTACGGTATTGCTAGAAGGCTGCTATGGTATCCTAAGTGGTTGCTATGGTGTTTCTAGGTGGTTGCTATGTTGTCCCAGTTGGGTGATAGGTGGTTGCTTTGGTAACCCCCATGGTTGTTAAGTTGTTGTTAGGTGGTTGAAAACGTATCTCAAATGGTTGCTAAGCTGTTGCTAGGTGCTTGCTAAAATATTCCTGATGTTTGCTATGAAGTTGCTAGGTGGTTGCTATAGTATCCCAGATGGTTGCTAAAGGTGTTGCCAGGTAGTTCCAAGGATGTTGCTTGGTGGTTGTTATGGTATCCCATGTGGTTGCAAAGTGTTACTACAGGGTTGCTATGGTAATTCAAGTGGTTATTAAGGTATTGCTAGAAGGCTGCTATGATATCCTAAGTGGTTGCTATAGTGTTGCTGGGTGGTTGCTATGTTGTCAGATTTGAGTGACAGGTGGTTGCTATGTTATCCCAAGTGGTTACTTAGGATAGGTGTTGTTAGGTGGTTAAGAATGTATCTCAAATGGTTGCTAGGGTGTTGCAAGGTGGTTGCTATGGTACCCCACATGGTTAATAGAGTGTTGCTAATGGACTTGTGTCATCGTGATGTAAGGTTGGTGCCCCACCATTCATTTCCATGGGGAAAAACATCATTTAATAAGCATTGTACAAAAATGTATGTCCAAGCTAAATGCTGTATCAGTTCGGACAAGCAGACAAAAATATGGCAAAATAATGATAATAAAAATAATAAAGATAAGAAGAAAAAAAAAACAGAAGAAGAAGAAAAATATATGGCAAATCACTAATAACATATTAAATGTTGGTTTTTGGCTGGAATGCCCCTCAATCTGAACTGGAATATCACCCTTTACTACACTAAGGATATGTCAAGTTAAAGGGGGGAGAATCTAGAACAGAAGATAGTTCTGATTTGTTTGTTTGTTGAGGACACTGTGTATACAACGACTTGGCTACTAAGGCCACAATGACAGTAGAGATCATCCAGCATCAACCCCCTGAGTTCTTAACCCACATCCAAGTTCTCTGACCACACTGAGTAAATGTGCTTACAGGATTCAAATAACCAACATGGAATATATGCATATTACCAGTGTGCTTATCCAACACACACACAGTGTGGCATGACCACATAACCACACTAGGCTGGCTGGAGTCTCTGGGTAAGCCAGTGGTCTGAGGTCTGAGGGTTTTTAACTTAACACAGGCCGAGAGAAAGCGAGAGAGAGAATGAATAAATAAAATACCTTGGACTCATAACACCCACAAATTCTTACAAGCAACAATAGTTGTACATTCTTCCTAATGACACATTGTGAGGATCGCACAAATTCCTGTAGCTCAGTTACTCAGTTTTACCTGCCTGCTTCTCTTCTAAAAGAATGAACAACATCCTCCTCCAGTTCATTTCACACATTTTTCACCACTCAGCCATTCAGACCCCCGCCGTCCTGGTGACGCCCAAAATGCGTAAACACAACCAACATTTCTTTGCCTCATTCTGAGTCTGCGGCCATGAACGAACATGTTCGCTGAGTCATCGCACGCACAGTCCACCCCCCCAATCCCCCAAACAGAGAAGTCCCTAACGAAGCAGCAGCCACATCGTTAATCTGCTCCTGGCTGGCTCGCCACATTGCAAAAGAGAAGCACAGAGTTCGGAAATGAATGTTATGTGTGTGCTGCGCTGCTGACTCCTGCTAATTCATGAGCTTCTCTATTTGTGGCGAATGAATGGACGCTCGCCAACGCTAAATAAAAGGCATGTTCCCCGCAACACTGCAACAGATTTCAGTGGAGGAGCTTTTATTAGACTTGCAGAACTCTTGCATAACTCTTCAGTATGTATGCTAGCATCCAAGTGTCAGACTGTGTACTGTTCAGGTGAATTTGATCCCTGGTGATGCTACAGCCTATCATAGCCGGGACTCCAAGAGAGCACAATTGGCCTCGCTCCCTGGGTGAGAAGGATGGCCCTTCCCCCGCAATGCTAGCCAGCCCAGGAATCTGTTAGCTGACATAACAGAACTGGTGGTTAGTGTTCTCCTCCAAGCGTGTTCAGCTGTCCAATGACGTTGCGTCAGCGGCAGTTCGAATAGATGCGGTGATGCTTCACAGGTATCGGAGGGAGCCTGTGCTAGCTAAGTTAATTAGCTAGACGTCTACCATTACCGATGTAAAAAAGATTAAGAACATTGTGACAGTGCCCCCTGCTGTTTATCAGAGTGCCGCCGCTCTGTAGTTTCAGTTTCCATTCCCCAAACGCTTTAGTCGGCCTACAAGTAACAACCCGCCCTAATGTTATTCCTCCTAACAAACAGCCACACGGTCAGCTCTGTCTCCTCATTATTCACCACCATCACTGTAATATTTTATCTGACGAGTTTTCATCAACATCAACACACAAAGGTAATAACAAGCGTCGGAGATCATGTCTGAAATGCCTGGGATTTTTAAAACGAAGAAAATCTCACAACTGAAACCATTTTGCAATTTAGATAAATTTAACATCATTATGCTGGTTACAGTGAACTTTCCTGCCTGTTTCCTAACAATAATAAAAACAGAAGGTTAAAACAGAAGTTAGGACACTGTTGGGGTTTACCCTAAAGTTAGGACATTATTTAGGAGACAGGGAAGATCACAAACTTTTCCACTGATGGCAAATACGTGGAAATGGTGGTCAGCTTTTGCCCCTTGGATCAATTATTAATAACAGAGGATCCAGCAGTCAAGAAATACAACACAGATTGGCACTAAGCAGAACAAGGATGGAGGAACTAGAAAAGATTAAATGCAGTGATCTGTCTCTTCAAACAAAGATCAGAACTGTCCAGGCTGTGGTCTTCTCTGTGGTTCTTTATGGATGTGAAAGCTGGACAGTAAACAAGCGAGACAGGAAAAGTATGGATGCCTTTGAACTTCTGTGCTGGTGAAGATCTTTGAGAGTTCCTTGGATGTCAAAGAAAACAAACAAATGGATCCTTGAACAAATCAGACCTCACCTCTCGCACGAAACCCAGACAACCAAACTGAAGCTCTTATTTTGGACATAGAAGAATTCCTTGGAAAAGACTATTATGCTTAGAAGACTTGAAGGTAAAGGAAGAAGAGGATGACCAGCTACAAGATGGGCGGATACAGTCAGAGCAGTCATAAACCAGCCATTCAGAAGCCTGAAGACCCAAACAGACGACAGGATATTCTGGAGAAACAGTATCTATACAGTGGGCAGGAGTCGGAATGCTGACCTGTGCTGACCTTAAGTGAAGCCAAGTATTATGTTGCATAATATCTTGCAGTAAATCACACATGTGGAAGTATATGGACAGAAAGCATATCATCGCTGTTGGAACAAAACAATGTATGTCCATTTTTTATGTTTTTTCAGAAGTTACAGCTTCTTACTTATTTGGCTGTTTGTTCCAATAGCAACAATATGCACTTGCTGGCCACTTTATTAGGGACCCCTACCTTGTAGCTTCACTTTGTTCTGTTCAGTTAGGTTATGTTCAGACTGCAGGCAAATTTGGTTTGTTTCTCCGCACTGTTATTTGCAAGTGACATCACCAAACGATCTGCATGGGTTGCTGTGGTAATGATGTGGGCTTCAGTAACTTCGTAGCTACGTTGGTGATGCTACATTCCATTTATTTATTTATTAATTTAATTTTTTTTTTTTTATTTTTTTATTTTTACCCGATTTTCTCCCCAATTTAGTCTCTCCAAATCCACCCGCTAGTTAGGACTCCCCCAATCACACGATACTATCAACGCTAGGAGGGTGAAGGCTAACACAGGCTTCCTCTGAGACCTGTGAAGCCAACCACCGCTTCTTTTCGAACTGCCGCTCACGCAACGTCACTGGACAGCCGAACGCGCTCAGAGGAAAGCGCCAACCGCCAGATCTGTTACGTCAGCTAACAGACGCCTGCGCTGACTAGCATCGCGCTGAGTGATGGGGGGAGAAGGAGGGGCCATCCTACCCACCCAGAGAGAGCGAGGCCAATTGTGCTCTCTCGGACTCCCAGCTACGGATGGCTGTAGCATCACCAGGGATCGAACTCGCGAACTCCTGATGATAGGGCCAACGCTTAGACGGTTGCGCCACTCGGGAGCTACATTCCATTTATAAAGACGCCATACACGTAGTCAGCATAGCTTTACCAATAAGAGTCCCTGGGCTAGACTCCTAATGCTACATTGGCCTACCTTTGACTAAATTCTTAGTTGCTCTGGCTGAAAGCGTCTGCCAAATGCCATAAATATAAAATATGAAAATCTCAAATACGTAACATGGGGACAAGAGTGGAAAACATGCAGAAAGACAACAAGCGGATAGACCAGCAATGGACTAAAAGCACAGTACTGAGGATGGACAAGAAATAAAGAAAACAAAAAACAAACACATAATAAAGTATTTCACCTCTCAAACATTTATATATATATATATATATATATATATATATAAACCGCACAAACACAAATTTCTCCCACAGTTGTACGGCCTCCTAAGCGCAAAACACTTTACATTTCCCTCCATCTTTGCAGTTCAGTATAAACTATTAACTACAGCGGTAAGCATACAAAAATTGTGTAGTATCAAATAAACTGTAACAATAATATTAATATTTTTCATGGCATTGGTTATAACTAGATGAAGTGTTCAATAAACAATTCCCACTGACAGTTTAAGGCTGAATTACTTGACCCGTTTGTCTGTTTGTCTATTTGTTGGCGATTATTAATCTCACCTGTTTGGCCTTTGACTTGGTAATGGTGTCAGAAATGGGCTTCTTCTTTTCTTTCACTGCACTTTTGGCAAACAGCTCCACAAACTCCTCAAAATCCACATGTGGCTCCTCCACCTTCTCCCACACCAGCAGAGTGTTTGGCTCTCTGTAGGCAGAGGAGAGAGATCTTCTCGTTGAGTTATCAAAGAAACACTTCGCCCTAATATGCCAGTGTTTCTTATTCCTTGTTCAAAATGTCAGTATAGATGTATCCTGATAAAACAAAGACCTAGTCTAATGGTGGATGCTAACATGTTGCTACATTCAATGCTATGATTTTATTAAGTCTGTTAAGGATTGGAGACCCCTGATTGCTTTGAATATTGCAAAATTCATTGTAAATAAAAAAAGTGGATTCTTCATTCTGTGGTAAAATACACTGCTTAGTATTTCACACTGTAGAACATAAATAATTGTAGCCCTGTGTGAGGAGACACTGTTAACACTGTAGTACCTACACAGCTAAATGCACTGTCTATAAGCATAATCAATACTTGAAATTCAGTACTATGAAAAGGTGAGAGGCTATCCTTTATTTAATTTCCATTACCATTATTTAATTTCCAGTCAAAACAGCCATGGAATCATTCATTTTTCAGCATCAGGGGAAAAAGCATATATTTAACAGGAAGTTACACAGAAGCCTCAACAACTAAATCTAATATCATTTTTTTTGTATTTTTAAGTGTTGCATCTTTGTCTTTATTACAGCTTCCATCCTTTTCCGGAGACTTGCTTTCAGTTTTGCAAAGAAATTTGTAGAGATATTTTTCACTCCTCTAAAGATCAGTCTTAGAAGTTGGTTGCACTTTGTGCTTATCACGATCCACGTAATCCCAAATACAAATTGTACTCATAAGTTCCTAAACCGTCCTCCACATACAGGGATGCAGGAAGGTGTTTTAGGTTGGCGGTGCTGAAATTTTAAGCAGCATGTTTGTGATGTGAACGGTGACATTTGCCTTTTTTCCCATTTGGATTTTGTTAATAATTTACATCAAACAGAGAAAATGTGTACTTAATGGCTGTTTTGACTGGAAATGAAACAAATGAAGGGTGTTCTCTGACTTTTGCACAGTACTGTAAGAACACACACACACACACACACACACACACATCATATACAGTTGATGAGCCAAATGATTACTTTTTGGCATGCAGCTGTATTCTGGTCCAGTACAGAGGCTTCATGGGCCGTGGAGGCTCTATGACTGCCTTCAAAGGGGTGGCTTCCTGAACCATGCCCAGCGACGTCAAACCCAGAGGGGGCGGAGGGGGACCTGCTGGACCTGGAGGTGGAGGTGGCGGTCCGAAACCCGGAGGGGGAGGAGGAGGTGGTGGTCCTAATCCTGGAGGAGGAGGAGGAGGTGGTGGTGGTCCTAATCCTGGAGGAGGAGGAGGAGGTGCAAAGCCTGGAGGAGGAGGAGGTGGAGGTGGGGGTCCAAACCCTGGAGGAGGGGGAGGTGGGCACAGACTATGCCCGGGTAAAGGTGGTGGTGGTGGTGGGGGTGGTACTGACACCCCTGGTGCCAATGGTGGGGGAGGAGGAGGAGGAGGAGGAGGGGGAGGGGGAGGGGGCGGGCCTGAGGATACACCTGAACCAGTCAGTGCAGGTGGAGGAGGCGGGGGAGCAGAAAGGGGCGGGGCTTGTGGTAGCGCAGGCTGATCCCGTTGTAGCCTTTGGCAAGTGCATACATAGGATTGTGTCATTGGTGAAGTGGCACCATCAGTCATAGTCCGTGATTGGTTGGATAAAGGCACTGCGGAATGAAAGGCCTCCTTGACCGGAGAAGTTTGGACCGATTTCGCCTCTCGCGGAGACTTCTGTCCGTTAGCCTTATAGAACACATGTCCGAGGTTGAGGCTCAACCCATTTTCTGTCTTTGCTGCCACTCTCTCCTCTGAGGTACATGAAGGTTCGAGATCTTTCTCCAGCTGGCTTATCTTCTCTTGTAACTCCTTGATCGTCCGCTCCAGTTGCTTGATTGATGCGGAATTCCCATCTGAAACAGCCCCGGATCCTGGAGTGGATTCATTCTACGGGAAATAAAGAGGGTGGAACAGAAGACTGATAAAGAAACAACGGAAGAGAAACAGAACAGATCTTTAAAACCAAACAGGACGTCAGCGTCTCCACACGTCCTCAACACTTTTCCAATCACACAGTGCTGTTTTTACTCAGAATACAACTAAGAATGTAGTTATTGGTATTTCGCTATGTGATTTGAATTTAATGGCATAATTAGGTAATCAAAAACATTTGATTTGCATTGTGTATTGACTGGTTAAAGTCAGCAGTTATGACTTTTAACTTTTTGTTTCAGTGTCACAAAAATGTTTATGGCGGTTTCTACAAAATAAGAAAATAACTTGTCAATTTCAAATCATAATACATTATATCTTCTCCACTAATATATTTTCTAGTATCAAATCCACACTTTTGACAGAATTTCTCCACTTATTTTAAAGACCTACAAGGGAGAAACAATTTATTTAAAAGCACTGCTTATTGATAACTTTGACTATGAAGTGTTTAGGAAAAATTAACTGTTTAAGGCCGAGATGCAAAATAAGTGGCTATTTCTGCTACTTAACCCCTTTTCACTGAAGTTATAAAATGCAATTCCCACCTGTTTGGAGGTCCCTCTGATGAACCAATTTTCAGTAACGTTGATGGAATATTGTTTATATATATCCATAGTAAAAAGTGTTTTTAACATGTTTAAATGCTGTTTTTCTTTGGGGCAGTTTTAAAATAAAGCTACAGTCCTCTGTTTTATCTCAGCACGGCCGTCTTTATGGAGAGGTGTGACTTGTTTTCACGGCTGGGGGTTCTCACCCCTCCCCTTCTGCCCATCATTGCTCACTAGCAGCTCAACACAACACATCAGTCCCAACGCTTCTTTGACCACTCAGAGAACCCTTTGCATGCTTAAATGTTTCTTTGCATGGTGAAATGGTTCTTCAGATTGATGGAAAATGTGTTGTATGTCCACTCTTAAAAAAGATGGTTCTTCAAGGGTTCGTTAAAAAAAACGGTTCCATATAGAACCATGAACACTCAAAGAACCATTGCATAATTATAGGGTTCTCTGCATCATGAAAGCGCTCTTTAGATTGATGGAGAATATGATGTAGGTGGTTCTATATAGAAAATGTTTGAAAACGGTTGTAAACAGCACCAAAAAGGGTTCCATTATTGTTATAAGCCAAGAAACCGTTTTGGTACTATATAGAACTCTTTTTGCTATGAGTGTATAGAACCTTTTTGAAAAGCATTCTATATAGCACCAAAAAGGGTTCTTCTATTGTTGCATGCTTGACATGTTGCATGCTTGACCCACATTCTCCATCAGTTCCCCACGCAAAAAAAAAGTTTCTTTGAGTGTTCATGGTTCTATACAGAACCATTGCCTTAACTAAGGAACCCTTGAAGAACCAACTTTTTTAAGAGTGCAGGGTTAAGAAAGATAACAAACTAAAAAGTTCCACTGAGTTGTTAGGGTTAAGGTTCTTCTATACAAGTAAGGGTTTTCAATGTCAACAACAGAAGAACCCTTTTTGGTGCTATATAGAAACATAAACATATTCTCTACCAACTCTCAATAAAAAGAACCATTTAAGGTTCTTTAAGTGTTCATACTTCTATACAGAATCATTGCCTTTACTAAAGAACTCAGCGTGTTTAAGAGTGGAGGGTTAAGAAAGATAAAAACCAGTTCCACTGTGTTGTTAAAGTTAAGGTTCTTCTCCATGACTATGATAGTACAGTGTGTACAGCATGTGTGAGAAGGTGGGCTGGAGAACGTGCTTTCCAATAACACAGGCCAGGCATGCATGTGGTGTCCCGCAAGCCAGTAAAAGCAGTTTGGCTGATGGGGGGAAAAAATCTTCCCCTGCTTTCCGGATAATGGGGAGAGGGCGAACACGGAGGAATAAAAGGCACGGCCACAATCAGCACGTAAAACTAAACACGCACACACACGGTCCAGCAGTGTGGGTCACAGAAGTCCAGAGAGTCTAGACGCCAGAAGTTGTTGTGTCTCCGAGGGGCTCCTGAAAGGCGGGCCGCGGAGTCTGGGGAAGTCGGGGGATCGGGCCAATTCCGAACCGCCGCACAGCCTCAAACGGCTTCAAAGCCCCTCGTTTGAGGAGTGGTGGGGACGTTTAGGGAAAACATCCCACTCCCGAAGTCTGGCTCTACCCACAAGCTTGATAGTGCTATCGTTCTAAATAGCGTTTAGCCAAACAGGACCGGCGTTTGAGGACAAAGTCGGGGAGAATCCCTCTCAGATACGGCTCAGAGTTCCCAATCTGCCCTGCATACTGCAGTACACTCACCAACTCATTACCAAGACCTCATCAGAGTGTTTTTATCCTGATGAATTCAGGTTTGAAAGACTTTTAAATTTTATGTTTTTTTTTTAAAAGCAACTGTATATTGTGGCTTCACAAGATTACTGTGGTGTGTCTGTACATTTATAGTAATGCACTTAAAAAAGATGGTTCAAGGGTTCTTAGGTAAAGGCAATGGTTCTATTTAGAACCATGACCATTTCATGGGGAAATAGTTCTTCAGGTTGATGGATAGTGTGTTATATATGGTTCTATATAGCACTAAGTTCTACTATCATTACAATGTCAAGCTGTTCAAGCATTAAAGCATAAAATGGTTCTATATACAACTCATGGTTCTAAGCAGAACCATTGTCGTTACTAAAGACCACTTCAAGAACCATCTTTTTGTAAGTGTGAAAGCTCTAACTGAAACAGTAATCTTCTGTTTTTTTACAGAACAGCTGTAAAAGTAATGCAGATTGGTACCCAGTAATTTACTGTAAATTTACAACAATATTAATTAACATGATTTATTCACCATGTTTTGCCCTGTATGTGTTTAACTTTGCTTTTAATTTGCCCAAAAATGACTCACATCTGGCAAAATTAATAAACAATACAGTTTTTGCCAACACACAAGTTATTAAAATATTTCAGCCTTTTTTAACTCCGCTTGAGCCTTTTGGCTGTTATATCCCATAATGCCGTGCAGTACAGCTCAATATCATCTTCACAGTAATTTGCAGTGTTACTACAGAAAATATCTTAAGATGAATGTAAGTATGTAAGATGACAATAGTGTTAAATATTGTGAAATCAAGACTGGTCATCATGCGCAACAACTCAGCAAATCCTCTCCATATGAATTATAAACAAAGTGACAGCAAAAAAATCTGCCCAAAAGGGTCAGAGCAAATTAATGCTGCACTGCCCTCATGAATAAACTTGTAATGTGCTTGAGCCACCAGCAGAGGGCAGTGCTGTTCTACAGCTTGAACCCCAGTGACAGATGAACTCAATTTCAATACTGATTTTAATTAAAATAAAGAGCAAATAAAATACTAAAAAAAGAAAATTCAAAGTTATATACGTATTTAGGGGCCAGACGCATGTTTATACGGCCAAAAGTATAACTGTACACAAAAGAAACACACACCTCAGATGTACTGGACGCTGGGGGCCACAGGGTCTGTAATCTTCCGGGTGTTCTTGCCTCAGGGTGACCCAGTGGAGCCCAAGTGTACAACTGCTCCTTCTGAGAGACAGAGAGAGAGAGAGAGAGAGAGTGAGAGAGAGAGAGAGATAATGAACAAAACAAGAAATAAGCAATCAATTTGAGAAACAATACTATAGAAACAATAATCAAACTCACTACTTACATCACATGATCAGACTGAGAACACCCTCAGAGAAACAGGATTAGGAGAGATTGTTACTGTACAAAGGAAACGGCGCCCTCTGCTGGTGGTAACATTTGAATTTTCCCTTTGCCTCAGTACAATGAACACATTTTGATCACCTCATTTTCTATTGAGTTTAATGTTGTTAATGTAGCAACTTGTTTTGTCTTTTGAGACCCCTGAGACTCTTTGCTGTATATATGCAATGATTTGCAAACAAAACTACTGTTTATCTAGAACCATGTCTTTGCTAACATGTCTGTGAAGCATGCATTTGCCAATACACTGTGTTAAGGTATCTAGAACTGTGTCATTGCTAACTTAACTGCATCTAGGTGTTTAGAACTGTCTGCTTGCAAACATAATCTTTATGTTTATTAATAGAAGCTGCTGATCAGTCACGCGTATAATGGCATCTATGATGTGATATAATGTAATCTAGAACCATGTCTTTGGTAACACAACAGTTTAAGGGAATCCAGCGGCTCAGCTGGAGTCTCCGGAGGAAATACCCGAGTACCCTCGGTAACAAACTGGCTGTCTTGTTGTTTATCTTCAACATGATCACATTTTTAATAAGCCCAGATGTGTCTAATACGAAAAAAAGTTTTTTGGAGCTGAGTGACAGCAGAAAACGTTGCGACAGTAAGGGTTCATTTACTGCAGTGCGGCAGTGTTTAAGAAAACTTCTTACATAGCCAAACGGAGACGGTCTGACCAACAAAAGACTAAATGCTGAGGAAAGGTATGTGACAATCGCCTGTATACTGTTCTTTTAAAAAGTAAAATGAGTGAAAATGGTATGTTGTTTCTCACTGGCTCATCACAAATACCTTAATGACAAACTAAACAACTCATGAATCTCCATGATCTAACATAATTAACCACAGCAGGCTCACTAATGTCAAAGCTGTTTCATACCTGAAAAAGGACTTCAGCAGGCAGCATCATAGCTAGAGCTTTTAGAATGGGGCCATGTTTTATTGGGGTGGCACACTGCTAAAAAAATGTAATTAATAAAAATTAATTAATAAAAAAATCATTAAATAATGTGTTGCTTTTTTTCTGTATACATAACTAATATATATATCTGTCCTTCATTTCCACATGAATGAAATATTACATCAATATCACTATTGCCCAAGAGCAAAACTGTGTTGATGTGATGTGTTTCAGTCATTTGAAATGATACAAAATTAAATGCATCACTTTTTTTCAGTGCACAATGTTAACTTTAAGAAAAAATATTACATAAAGGCAGGTCACAGAAGTTATTCACTTAGGCTTCCGGTTTACGAGCAGCCTAGCCACTTCTTATTTGCCCGCTATATCAAAAAGAGGACTGTTAAACAGCAGAGGGCGCCCGCGAGTGAGTCCTCAATGAATGGGAGTAAATGGAGCTCAACGGCTAAAAACGAAAAGTTAAAATAGTTTCTAATCACTCGCCCAGAACGTTTCTTTAATTTTAGAAAGTAGAAGGATGTATTTCACTAAAAAACAAAGAAATCCTACCTATATATTTACTTTTTCTACAGCAAACGGGTTTAGGGCAGCAGAAGGCGGGCATTACTGCTACTGAGTGCTGACTGGTTGGCGAGTAGAGCAGCTCATTGGCTGTTCGCGCTCACTGACGTTATGGACGTACATGAAGTGCCGTTTTAAACTCCTATGACTCGAGTTTAAAAGCTCTTAAAAATATAACAGCAGTGTTAAAATGTTTTATGTTGCTCTGTGTTCAGGAAATGATTATTATTATTCTTTTACATTGAAAATGTTTAAACATTTATAAATTATGATTTTGCTCAAATGCTCCATATCAACCCATTCATTTTGGACTCACTCAGGAGCGCCCTCTAGTGTTTGAGAAACCCAGAAGACATTGCAGAGCGGTAATTCTCATCTCTACAGGTTCTCTGGTTATACCTGAGGGTAATGATTAGAAAGATCGCCAGGCAGCTCTGTGTAAGCTAACCTACAACACATGCATGTATTCAGCTGTAGAGAGTTAGCATGATAAACAATTCATGTGTTTTTTTAGGTCTCCAGACTATCAAAAAATCAATCTCGATACAATCTGGATACATTAAAAATCAGATTTGGGCTGGCAGTCTGAACAAGACCTTAGATGCAGGTTGAAACTAAACTCTGCAAGTTTAGTTTAATCTTGATTTAAGAATCTTACAGCATCTGTTATCTTAAGTTAATAAATCTTAACTCACTCGATCGAAGTCGACAAACAACTGGCATGTCTGTCACCTAGCAACTGACTGTTTGCGCACAGCTGAAACGTAAACATGTAAACAAAGTAATCAAGCTAGTTAGCCAGGCAGCTAACGTTAGCTACCGTTACTGATGTACAAAATTGGTCAAATAAAACTAAAGCGCAATAAACCGAAGGTTAAGAATATTGTGGCAGCGCTTTGTGCTGTTTATCAGTGTCGCTGGTCTCCAGTTTCAGTTTCATTTCCCAAACGCTTTAGCCGAGTGCGCTAACGTTATTCCTCCTAATGAACATGTTCAGCTCTGTCTTCTCATTATTCACCACCATCACTGTAATATTTCATCATCAACATTAACAATAACACACGAAGGTGATAAGAGGGGACGGTGGAGATCGAGTCTGCAGTGTCTGGGCTTTTAAAACACTGTTAGAAAAAAATCTCAGTTATCTGTGTAGATAAATGTAGTTACCATCATCATGCTGGTTATAGTGAACCGTGCTACCTGTCACTGCATAAAACAATAGAAACAGACAGTTAAAACAGAAGTTAAGACAGCTGTGGGGTTTATCTTAAAGTTAGGACAGTATTTAGGAGATTTAGTCTAGTTAGGATTGTGTAAAACTGTTTTCTTATCTGGAGTTAAAGGATAAGATTATAAACTTAAGAACTAGCTTCTGTCCTAAATTCGGTCCTGTCATAGTGACTAAACAGTTAAGATTTCAGACTTAAGAAGTTTCTGTAATATGGCCTCAGATCTCCAGAAGGAGGGTTGGTGACCACGTCTATATCCAGTATTTGTGAGCAATGTTAGCCTAGCATCTCCTTTTAAAAACTAAAGACGTAAACAGCAGATACCAATCATGTCTTGGCGGACCCCAGATAGCGAGCATATATCGGTCCGCTGTCTTGATAAGGTCGGCTCCCCGCTGACAGTTTGCCACTGCTGGACCACCCTCAGACCACCCAGATTACTGTCCTGCATACAAGCTCTAACTAGTTTGTAATCTCCCCAAACAGATTTTTATTTTCTAAAAAGGCTCTAAAAGGCTAAGACAAAGATCACAAACAACAGAGAGAAAAATTAATGACTAGGCCTGATATAAAATGAGTTTCTAAAAACTTCTGTTGCTGATGCTGAGCTAGATTCCAATTATTTACTACACTAATTTACAAAGTATAACTACAGAAGGAAGGAATGAAAACATTGGACTGTGAGTGGAAAATGAACGATGATAAGTGGAATTTTGTCTATTACACCAGTGGGCCGCCCGGAAAACACAGAGCAAAACGCCAGTGGACCGCCAGCTTTGCCTTCAGCGGGCCAACAGTGGTCCAAGTTCTATGGGAAGGTGGTATAAATGGAAGATTAATCATCATGTTAACATTTGAATCTGATCACTTTCACAATCCAAATCTGAGACTGACCCCGGCTCAGATAACGTCCAGGTCTTTCTCAGCGTGCATGTATGAAGAGAACGGAGTGTGACAGGCTGAACACAGGTCCGACCCCCTGACTCTGTCTGACAGAATGGGGTCTGTGACTGCCTTGAATTAGCTCCGCCTCATCCATCATCAGTCAGCGCGCGGAAGAGTCATCAGCAAAGAATAGCCTGGATTTTATTAGCATTTAAACGTGTTCTGTTAGATTGTGTTTGGAAGATGCTGTTTGATGGGGAAAGTAGTTTATTTTCTGCGTCCACTGTCACACTGGACAGTGCCTTGGTCTCCTCTTGACTAAAAGCTGTTGACAGGTGAGCGCTTATATAAAATGTGGCCAGAGTACTAACTTATATACAAGAGAGAACTTTTTATCTGTGTGCATCATTGACTGGTTCCCCTAGACTGAATTTACTAGTTTTAAAAGCTGTGATATAAAGGTTTTAAAGATTTAATGTAACACAGACAAAAAAATCGTAGTCATCAATTGCTGAATATTATGACGCCGTTTTAGGGCCACTGTTAATAAAAATAAAAACAGCAGACTTCGAGAATAAAGTCGTAATATTTCGAGAAAAAAAGTTGTAATATTTTGAGAAAAAAGTTGTAATATTTCGAGGATAAAGTGGGCTAACTGTAGGGGGGCTGCCATAACGCGTTGGGGTCTCGGTTGCTGTACTGGCGCCAGAGTCCCACTCACTCCTGTCTGCTTGTGGATCGATCATTTTGATTATCATTCTCACTGTCTGTGAAACTTCACGCCCTCTTTGAACGGTGCGGAGATGTAGCCCCGACAGCCGTGTAGACGACCCTGCCTGAGATTCTCCTTCAACAAAACAGACAGACGGTTTCATCCGAGTCCGTTGATATGAAAGTATAACTCAACGCCCCTCATTTTATTGCAGCTTTTCCTGGTATTAATGCCACTTTAATGTCGTAATTCTACAACTTTTTTTCTCAAAATATTACTACTTTTCCTCGAAATAGTAAGACTTGGATGGAAACAACTGCAAGGACAGTTCTAGATATGCAACCGTTCTGTTAGCACAGATAGTTCTAGATACAAAGACACAATTAGAAAAGTGGTGGTGTAATTGTAATGTTTCTAGCATGGAAGCCACTGTAAAGACAGTTCAGTTCTAGATACACAACCGTTCTGTTAGCAAAGTCCATTCTAGATAAGTTATAAAAGCCGT